GGCAAAAAGGGCAAAAGCATGGATAGGAAATTCCAGTTTAATCAAATCCCTGACAGCCTCTATTCTTCTTCACCTTAACCTCTTCGGCCACGTTTCTTCTTCCACCTGTTGAGCAGCGGCCCTGGATAAAACGAGGAAATCGTCAGCGTTTCAAGATTTTTTTCTTAACCTGTCTCCTTCCTGTGTCAAACTCATAATTTGCGGAATTCTGAATAGCAGAAGAAGACAAGACAGGTACTTCCTTGATCCTGTCTGCAAGACAAAACAGGTACTTTTTTATGAAAATTGTGTATAATAGGTGGGAACCCGTAACTTTATTCATGTGAGGTTTTTTTTGTACTTTATAAAAAGCTTTTTTTTTTTTTACTTGAAAAAAATACGTCGTTTAATCAATTATTTATTGGTTCAAGGGTAAAGAATCCAATTTTTTTTTAACAAGATTTTGAGCTTGAGTATTGTGAATAAAGAAATAAGCGTTAAAAAAGCTTATCTTAATGGGGTTTGACATAACTCAATTTTAAATTAGTTAAAACTCAATGTAGTTATCATATATCAAAAAGTTAATAAAAAAAACATTGTTAAATATTTGAGTTTATTTAATCTATGATCTTTAAGATTTATTAATTAAAATATTTTTTATTAATTTTGTATAAATTTTTATATTAAATTTATAATTTTTATAAATTGTAAGTATAAATATTATATTAAATTTTATTTTTATATTTTATATTATATTTTATTTAAATTTTATATAAAAATTTATGTAAAATTAATTATAAATCCCATTATTTTTTATTGGCTGATTCTGGTAAAGGCATTGTTTTAACCTGAAGATGATGCTTTTCAATGCTTTTATGGATTATGAAATCAATGGAGCAACAATCAATAAATCCAAATACTAAATCCTTGTTAAAAAAACTTCGAATTTCAAAAAGATTATTGGGAAGAGTTGATTCATCTTCTACATTCAAAGGTTTGTTGGTTTTAAATATGGTATTTTTAACCTATATTCTAAGAGTTCAAATTAAAAAAATAACTAATATATTTTTTGTTATTAAATTATATAAAAAATAAAGTTTGATTGTAATTTTAACAATTAATTAATTAAATTAAAACATATGATATTTATGTTGAAATTAATATCAACTTTTTTGTTTTTTTTATATAAATTAATGACTAAAAAATATATTAATTATATCCTTAAAACACAAGTCAAAAAATGCTTTTAAATAAGCATATAATCTTTGAGTTTTTTATTTCAAAATATTTATTTTTTATTTTTTATTTTTTGTTTAAAAATTATTTAAATAGTAGTTATGATGTGAAAATTGGTTTTTTTTTAACATTTTATTAATCTTTCAATAAAAAATTTTTAAATTTAACACTTTTAAATAAAAATTTTGTTTTATAATTCAAACTATGACAAATTATAAAACACTATTATTTCATAAGAAGGAGAGCTTTTAATATTAGAAACCCTACTCTCATATAATGGTTTATATAATATAATTTAATATAATTTAAATTGTACTATATTTTTTATTTTAAAAAAATTAAAAATTTACTATATTATTTATAAATTAATAAAATTTACATATTTACATAAAAATAATAATAAAATTTATATTCTTGTTTACACATTTTCTTCAGTTTTACCGCCATGAAAACTGGATTTTTTTTTTTAATGTACGAATACAATCAGGATAAAGAAGACTTAACTTTGTACCATATGTTCAATATAAATCATACAATCATTTTGAGATTTCTAGAATTCCCCTGCTAAATTGATATTTTGAGCACAAAGTTATGGCCCTAAAATCTTTTGTCCCCCTTCGCGGAAGCTCCAAGCTGTCTTTTCATTTTTTTTTTCTTTTTTGGTTTTTATACAATTCTATGATCGATAATCGTCTTTACTATTACCCTAAAATAACATCATACAAAGAAAATAAAAGCTAAAACTACTAGTATTATTCTGGAACGGAGGGTCCCTTTGTCTATCTTTTTTAATCTAAAATTAATTGTTACTTTTAATTTTTAAGATAAATTAATATTTTTATTAAAGATAATAGTATAAATAAAGTAGTAAAAACATAATTTTTTTTATAAATTTTTTTATTCGTTAAAAAATAAATAAATAAAAGAGAAAGAAAGAGGAATGTACGTATTTCAACCTCTGTTCTCCCTCTTTTTTACCTCTTCCGTCACACTTCTTCTTCCACCTGTTTAGCAGAGGTTGAAATTATATAAAACGAGGAGATAGTCGGAGTCCTGAGTTTTTTTTTTTTTTTGGCTTATCATGCATGGTTTAATCTTGCCTTCTTCCCCTGTGTCAAACTCATAATTTGCCGAATTTCGAACAGAAGACAAAATAGGTATTTTTTTTTCTTAGAGTAAGCAAGAAAGGTAATGTTTTAACATGGAGCATAATGTGCATTTCACTTTCTTAGGGATTAGGAAATCACTGGAGGAACAATGAATTCAAAGACTAGAACCTTTACATCCTCTGAGATTATTGATATAACTTCAAATTTCAAAACGATGATTGGGAAAGGAGGATATGGAAAGGTTTACTTTGGCACCCTGAAGGATGGCACTGATGTTGCTGTTAAGGTTCTGCCTTCATCATCAGAGCAATGCCGTAAGGCATTCATAACAGAGGTATGGATCACTGTAGTCATTTTTCATAACACTCTATAGCATTGTACATCTTAACAAATAAATTTCACTATAACAAAGCATCATATTAAAATGCAGGCAAAACTGTTGACTGATGTCCGCCAGCGCAACTTGGTTTCTCTAGTGGGATATTGCGATGAAGATGGTAAGGAGGCATTGATATTGGACTATATATCTAATGGAAATTTGAATCATCATTTATCAGGTTTGGACTTTGGATTCACCTTCACTAATTTTAACTGTTCTTAAGCTTGACTACTTGAACTAAAAGTTTTTATGTTTTTCATGCAGAGAAAAGCAAAGGAGTTTTGATATGGATTCAAAGGCTTCACATTGCCTTAGATGTTGCTTGTGGTACTAATTTATTTAGTGAAATCTTTCTTCAATTTCTTTTGCTTTCCATTTTCAAGGACCTATCAACTAATATAATACTAGAATTCTAGGGTTAGAATATTTACATGGTCGAAAGCCACCAATAGTTCACAGAGATTTGAAACCTGACAACATCTTATTGAATAAATACATGCAAGCCAAGATAGTTGATTTTGGACTATCCAGAGCTTTTGCAACAGAATCAGCTACTCATGTATCAACTCGTGTCGCAGGCACATTTGGATACCTAGATCCCGAGTAAGATTTTAATTAAGTCTTCAACTTGGTTAACCATTCATATTTAAAACTTATTGATATAAATTTTTTCGTGTTTTCCATACAGTTCTTTTAAAATGGGACAAATAAGCAAGAAAAGTGACGTGTATAGCTTCGGGATAATTCTACTCCAATTAGTTACTGGTAAGCCAGCAGTCATAACACCAGAAAAAGAGGAAAGCATTAACATAACTTACTGGATTGATCCTTTAATCAAAAGAGGGGATATCCAGAAAATCGTTGATCCAAGGCTAAATGGTGAATTCGACATCAGTGTCGTACGAAAAGTAATAAAGATAGCAGTGTCATGTGTGAAGCCAATTAAAGAAAGGCCTGACATTAGTCAAATATTGACAAAACTTAAGGACTGTTTAGATATAGAGGTGGGTTTTTCAAGAGTGTTGGATGATACCATCAGACCCAATATCCTACTCACACTCTACAGAAACATAAGACAAAAAGGTATTCTCTTTTCTCTTTGTTTAATTTATCTTAAAGTCAAGCAAAGGCATTGTTTTTAACAAGAAACATGATTTTCATTGCTTCAGTGGCCTTTATGAAATCAATGGAGGAGCAACAAGCAGTGAATTTAGGGAATATTAGAATCTTTACCCGCACTGAGGTTGCTACAATAACTTCAAATTTTAAAAAAGTTATTGAGGAACGAAGATTTTACAGAGTTTACCTTGGCACTCTGAATGATGGCGCTCAAGTTGCTGTTAAGATTTTGTTTCCATCATCATTTAACGATGAATATGATGAATTCCGAACCGAGGTTGGATAGCTGCAGCCATTTTCTCAACACTCTATAACATCAAAGACAAATACAAACGAATTTCAGTTTGACAAGCATCATTCTTGAATGCAGGTAGAACAATTAAGTCACCTTCGTCACAGAAATGTGGTTTCTGCAGTGGGATACTGTGATAAAAATAATATCAAGGCATTGATATATGAATACATGGCTAATGGAAATTTGAGACGGCATTTATCAGGTTTGGATTCACCATATAAATTATAACCATATTAAGTATGATTACCTGAAA